CGCACATACGTCCCTAAAATACAGACAAAAGATGCTCGGGTGGTTCACAGTACTGATCAGATAGCGCAAGCGTTCCAAGACTACTACGCCGACTTGTACAACCTGCCTGCCTCAGGGTCTTCTTCTCCGACCTCGGACCCCCCGGAACGAGTGCCCTCGTATATAGCTTCCACCCCACTCCCGACCATTCCGGCTGCTGCTGTGGCCCTCCTGGGGGAACCTTTCTCCCTCGAGGAGGTTGCGGGCGCTATTAAGGGACTTCCCTCTGGGAAAAGCCCCGGGCCAGATGGTTTTACTGGTGCCTTCTATAAATATTTTCAGGACCTCGTAGCCCCCCTGCTCCATACCATCTTTAATGCCATCACAGCGGACTGCCCCTTCACCCGCCAGTCACAGGAAGCACATATCACCATCATCCCTAAAGCCGACAAGGATTTGACACTCTGTTCTAGTTACCGCCCCATCTCCCTTATCAACGTGGATCTCAAGCTTTACGCTAAGCTCCTGGCTAACCGCCTAGGCCACTACGTTCCGTCCCTTATCCACATGGATCAGGTGGGCTTTGTACCGCTCCGCGAGGCCAGAGATAATACAATCAAGACGTTAACACTCATGCGCCATGCTAAATCCACCGGCCTCCCTATGTGTCCTCTACTAAGAAAAGCTGTTCTGCAGCTTGAGGAGTATTTCAAACTGGCATAGTGGTTAGTGCTTCTTCCTTGTAGCACTGGGGTCCCTGGTTCGAATTCCAGCCAGGTCATTCTCTACAAGGAGTTTTCATGTTCTCCCTGTGCTTGCATGGGTTTCCTCTCACACTCCAAAGGCATGCTGGTAGGTTAACTGGCTCCTATCTAAATTGGCCCTCCCATGTATGCATGTGAGATAGGGGCCTTCGATTGTAAGCTTCTTGAGGGCAGGGACTGATGTGAATGTGTGAAGCACTGCATAAAATTGTCGGCACTATATAAATACCAATAACAATACATTTCACTGCACACATTGCATCCACACATAACATTCATGTATTTAATGGTACGGTGTGTAAATTTAAATTTTTACCTAGAGTTTGGATTTAACTCATTCCTATGCACCGCAGTAGTAAAAATGAATGGCGACTGTAGGTGAGCTCCAGGGCATTGTAGAAATGCACTGTGACCCACCTGAAGCTAGCATTGCAGTGTGAACAGGGAAATGAGAGAACAATGGTTTTGTATGTGTTCTTGCAGTGACTGGTGTTAAACACGTACAGAAAAAATGCCGGTTGCCACACACATGTGTTAATGTGTGAATGGGCCCTATGACTACTCAAGAATATGAAACTGAGGTAGAACAGGTAGAACATTTCACTCCTTTTTTGTACTTTGATTGTATAGATCATCCATCACTTACTGAGAAGAAACAAAGAATTCTAGACCTTCTTTCGGGCTGGGGAGAAGAATCAGACAATGGACATATGGCTTCAGGAGAAAAATGCAAGAGTCGCATGGAAATTAAACAGCTACACGAAACAGCCAAAGGTAATTATATGTACAGTACATATATACTGTGTATACAGGTAGCTCCGCCCAACTGTTTCCTATTGGCCAGGACCTGCTAGAGTCTTCTAGCAGGTCCCAGCCAATGAATAATAACTGTTGTCAAAAGTTGTCATTGTTTAATGACAGTTCAGGGTCCCCAGGTCATTGCAGCTGGGCGGAGCCAGCCGTGAGATTGTGGCTGGCTCCGCCCAGCTGACCCCCTGGCCCCCTCTCCTCCCTTCTTCAAGCTAGTAGATGAATAGTTGCTGGAATCTGCACTGTCATTTGTGGTCTAGTACTGGACAGGAAGTTCCGGGAAGGTGAGCTGAGAGACTTGGAAGCGGCTGTTCAGAAATATGATGATTGTAAGTGTTTGGGCAAAACACTTACAATCATTTGTTTGATCTGTATGGAAAAAGTTTGAGAGTTTAATAATAATTTAACCACTTCACGCGGGCTCGCGTAAATACACGTCACCTGCTTGAAGTGGTTATACCAAGAACACGGCTGCTGCTGTGAATAGCCCATACAGCAGCCCTTTGGTTCAGCTGAAGTGAGCCAAAGGATAAGCCAATGCTTTGGCTTAATCCTTCGGCTCCTTTGTGAATAACCCCCATATCATGATTGCTGTCTGACAAATCATAATTTTATTCTGTCCAATTAATATATAAATAA